AGGAGTGGTGGTAGTGACCATCGCATCGTGGAGGGCAGCGGTACTCACCAAGTTCGTAGAGAACGAGGGGAGGTGAAGACCTGAGAGTGAGCCGGACGAAACCGCCGAACACGGGAGAACAGTGTAGGAACGGGCAAGAACTGGGCCCCCTGAGGGGTCAGCCAGTCTGACTAGAACAGGTGCAGGGAGTGGAGTGAGTGTGGTACTGTCGCGAAAGAAACAGCGGGAAGCACCTGAGTCAAGCATGAAGGTGTGCAATGTGAAGAAACAGGAATGAAATGATTGACTAGAAAATGAGTTGGGTACAAATATGAAACCCTAGGAAACTGTACCCCATAGTGTCTACCCCACTACAGCCTAGACAGGCTATATGATTAATGTTTGACACACCCCCATCGGCAAAGTGGGGGAGAACAAGGGGTCACAAGACCAGTCAAGCAAAGCAAAGCAAAGCAAGCTCAGGGTGGATCACACGTCACCACACATTCCGAGCACAGGTTCAAAGGCCACAAGGCCAGTTCATATGCAGGATCATATATAAGAGGTAAACAAGCAAGTGCAGGTATATATATATATCACAGTACAAGTAAAGTCAAGAGGTAAGCAAGTGAGGCCAAGTAGGCACAAGACCTAGCATAGTACAGAAGCGCTGATGATCACAAGGCTGAAGTGCCTTGGTGAAGATATCAGCAGTGTTGGCCTGAGAGGCCACGTAAGCAAGGCGCAGCTGACCACGCTGCTGCAGCTCACGAGCAAGGAAGTAACGAAGAGCAATGTGCTTCGTTCTGTGCTCCAGTCTGTGCTCCCGACACAAGGCCAGCATGGCCTTGTTGTCTACGTACAGAACTGGAGGAGAACGAGGCGGCTCTCCCAGGTCAGTCAGCAGGTAGGTGAGCCAGCGTAACTCTTGTGCAGCCATGGCCCCTGCGTAGATCTCAGCCTCACAGCTGGAGCTGAGAACAGAAGACGAGTGGGTAGACCGCCACGAAACAGAACCGGAACCAAGGCTGAAGGTGTAACCCTGTGACGACCGCTGAGTAGCCAGGTCGTCAACCCAAGACGCGTCTGCGTGACCAGTGAGTACCACTGGACTGCGCCCTCCAAGCACGAGCCCCATGCCCGACGTACTGCACAGGTAGCGCAACACCCTCTTCGCGGCAGCCATGTGCTCTGGTCGGTGTCTCCCAGGAGCAACATAGCGTGCCAAGATGCTAAGAGGGTATGCCGGGTCAGGTCGAGTGCAGGTCATCAGGTACATGAGGCAGCCAACAAGCTCTGGGTACGGGCCACTCGGCTCTACGGACTCATCCGAAGACAGAGCTGAGAGCGAGTGGCGAGTAGACAGAGGAGTGGCCTGAGGCGAGGAGTACGTGAAGTCGAAGCGCTGAAGGACCTGCTGCACCATGTGTGACTGAGTCAGGGTAATGGTGCGCCGTGCTCTGTCCCGGGTGATATGCAAGCCAAGATAGCTGCGCAGTTCACCCAGGTCTGTGCACGTGTGTCTCTTCTGCAGCTCGGACTTCACGTGGGCGAGTCCAGCAGTGTCAGCTGTAGCAAACACCAAGTCGTCGACGTACTCGAGGATGTAGAACGGCGGCAGCAAAGTGTCGGTGCGAAGAAACAGCGACGGGTCAGCAGTAGAAGGAGCAAACCCAAGAGCCGAAAGCATAGTCCTCAGTGTGTCGTGCCACTCACGGGGCGCCTGGCGGAGACCGTAGACTGGCCGCCGGAGGCTCCACTGGGTACCAGGAGGAAACGACCCAGTGAAACCAGGTGGGCGGCGCAGCCAGATCTCCTCGTGCAGGCTTCCCTGTAGGAAAGCAGTGCTGAAGTCAAGAGAGTGAAGCTCGTAGTCACGCTGAGCAGCGACGTGCAGCAGAACCCGAAGAGTGGTCATCTTCGGGGTCGGGGAGAAGGTATGAAAGTAGTCAACTCCCTGCCGCTTACTGAAGCCTCGAGCCACGTAAAGCGCCTTGAAGACAGGCGGAGAACCCGACGGCCGCTTCACCCTGAAAATCCACATGCCACTGACGATGTTCGCCCCAGGTGGGGGAACGTCGTTGACGTAGGTGCATGTGGACTTCCAGGAAGCCATCTCTGCGTCCATGGCTGACTGCCACTGAGAGGAGTAGGGACCCTCTATCGCCTCTGCGTAAGAGCGCGGGGTCGGGATGTCTGGTGCATCCGGGTCTCCCTCAGGGGCAAGCAGCATGGACACGAGATGAGGTAAAGCAGCAGCAAAACACTGGAACTCCTCCTGCCTGTCCTCAAGGACGTCCGTGCTAAGAGCACACTCACCCCCGACGGACGGAGGACAGACAGACTCAGACTCAGCAACAAGACTAGCGGCGTAGTCTAGACGACAGTGAGCAGCGAAGTCGACAAGCTCTGCAACTAAGGCAGACGCAGCAGTGGACTCAAAGGAAGGGTCAGTGACAACAGTGGCCAGGAGACGCGTGACAGTAGGACTGGCAGCATGAAGAGAGTCAGACTCCGAGTCAGCAAGAGCACGAAGAGAGGACTCTGGAGGAGACGGCAAAGGGACACGCTGCGGCGCAGTGGAAGGACGCAGTGCCATCTGATATGTGCCCGGGACCGCAGGAGGACGCTGACGTGGAACACGACGACTAGTGCGAGCAGCACGAACAGGTGACGCAGGACGCGACTCAGGCTCACGACGCTCAGCAAGACCTCCAGTAGGACCAGCGTAGGGAGAAGGAGCAGGCAGAGGGGAGGCCAGCTGTAACTGTGACTCGGACTGGACAGGCGGTGGACACTCTAAGGAGGGAGTAGGACCAGAAGAAGGTGGAAGACCAAGAACCTGCTCAAGGAGCGGAACGAAGTACGGCCGCGGCCGTGCAGCGCCTCCAGAACCAGCAGGGACAGCACCAGCACCCCCAGCGTCAGTGCCAACTCCAGCAGCACCACCAGCACCAGCAGCACCTCCAGCAGCTCCAGTAGCGTCAACTCCAGCACCCACAGGAGCACCGGCTCCAGCAGCACCTCCAGCTCCAGTACCTCCAGCAGCTCCAGCTCCAGCAGTACCACCGGAAGACGCAGCAGCTCCGGCTCCAGTACCTCCAGTAGCACCTACTCCAGCAGCACCACCAGCTCCAGCTCCGCCAGTAGTCCCAGCACCAGTAGCACCACCAGGCCCAGCAGCTCCAGTACCTCCAGTACGAGCACCTCCGGGACCCGTGGCTCCAGCACCCCCAGCAGCAGTAGAACCTCCAGCACCAGCAGCACCACCAGCTCCAGCAGCACGGCTCCAGCGCCGAGCAAACCACTCGCGCAGCTCCTGTGGAGAGGGTAGCTCCCGCCGGGACAGAGCACCCGAAGGACCTCCAGGTCCAGCACCGTCAGGCTCCGCACCCCCACACTCAGCAACCCCAGGCTCAGCACCCCCAGACCCTGCACCCCCAGGCTCCGCACACTCAGGCTCAGCACCCCCAGGCCCAGCACCCCTAGGCTCAGCACCCTTAGAAGCACCAGAGTCAACAGCTACCTCGACAGGCTCGACTGCGTCTACCTGGGACACACCTGAGGGGGCAGGACCCTAAGGGGGGAGGGGGTCTACCGGGGGGGGATCGGGCGTGAGGGAGAGCGGCGGGGGGGGGAGGGGGGCAGCGCGGTAGGGGAAAAGACGGTAGTACGGAACCGACTCGTCAAACGTGACGTCCTGGGAGGACAGAACACGGCGCGAGGTGGGGTGGTAAAATTGCCAACCAGGCGCGTCAGGGGGGAAGCCGAGGAAGACGCAAGGAACAGCACGGGAGGACAGCTTGTCCGCAGACAAGTCACGGACGAAAGCTCGAGATCCCCAGACACGGAACGCAGACGCATCGCCAACCTTCCCCGTCCACCGCAGAGTAGGGGAGGTCTCCGGCATGGAGACCCGGGGCTGAAGGTTGATCTGATGCGCCGCGTACTGAACCGCGAACGGCCACAGAAAATGGGGAGCAGCCGCATGGATCATGGACGTACGAGCGACGTCCATGACCATGCCAATGCGGCGCTCAGCAATCCCATTTTGCTGTGGAGAGGCCGGAAGCGTGAACGTCTGGCGGATGCCCTCCACACGACAGAAGGCTCGCAGAAGGTCGGAGGAAAACTCTCCACCTCTGTCGGAGTGCAGACGCAGAACAGGAAAGTCCGAGCCGAAACGCTCTCTGAGCTGGAGACGAGCAACGCGGATCCAGTCGATCAACACCTCAGTGACCTCATCCTTGCGGCGCAAGGGGAAGACTGAGGTGTAACGCGAGAAGTCGTCAACCACCAGCAGGAAGTACGCTCGTGACCCTGTCCACGGACGCGGGCTGGGCCCCACACGTCCATGTGGAGAGTCTGCAGCGGAGCCTCTGTCAGAGGAAACTCGGAGGAGTGAGGGGCGGCGCGCTGCCGCCCCTCAACGCAGGGAACGCAGGTAGGGGCAGGCCCCGGGGGAAGGGGAGGGAGGGACCGGGGGAGACCAGAGACAAGGACACGGGAGGCCATGCCTCGGAGACGAGGCAAGGAGGGGTGACCAAGGCGGTGGTGCCAGAGGAGGGTCTGGTGGGACAGGAGGCGACACGAGCAGGGGGCAGACTCAGGACCTGACCGAGACGCTGCAGCAAACACCTGACTCGACGCAGCTACCTGACCAGACGCAGCAACCGGAGGAGACTCTGTGGTCACACCTTGCCCACTCTCTCATCACACCCTGCCCTCTCTCTCATCACACCCTGCCCTCTCTCTCATCACACCCTGCCCTCTCTCTCATCACACCCTGCCCTCTCTCTCATCACACCCTGCCCTCTCTCTCATCACACCCTGCCCTCTCTCTCATCACACCCTGCCCTCTCTCTCATCACACCCTGCCCTCTCTCTCATCACACCCTGCCCTCTCTCTCATCACACCCTGCCCTGCAACAGCCGGCCTATTCCAGGGCCTGCCTGTGCTTGTTCTATATGCCTTGCAAACGCATCTCACCTTCTTCCTGTAAAACGCCACGCCATGCACGTTAAAGGGGATCTTCCTTTCCCTCATCGCGGCCTGAAACGCCCTGCCAGTCACCTGCCGCCGGTACAGCACTGCCACATCGCTCCACGCCAGGGGGACACCTGCTGCAGTCCCTGTTGCACTTCTCCCTGTTGCACTGCTCCCTGCTGCTGCGTTATCTGCTGCTGCGTTCCCTGCTGCAGTGCTGCTGCCGCTGGCACTGGTGTTGGTAGTGACGCCGGTGGTTATGGTCGTAGCTGCAGTAGTGGTGTGCGGTTGTACGCGGTGCATTTGGTTCATGAAGGACATGATGGCATCGGCGACCAGCGCACACTGTGCTGCTTCGTTTCGCACCTCCACCACCCTGCCATGTGGAGAGAAGGGAGGAGGGAATAACACCACACAGCCATGGAACACGGTGAAATTGGTGCATTTGGTACACGAGGGAAGTGGTTGCATCGGCGACCAGCGCAGCGCTGCTTCGTTGCGCACCTCCACCACCCTGCCATGTGGAAGGGGAAGGGAGAAGGGATTGATGGCTGAACGCGGTGCATTTGGTGCATGAAAGGCATGATAGCATCAGCGACCAGGGAGCACGCTTCGTTTCGGACCTCCACCACCCTGCCATGCACAGACGGACATGGATGGGTAGCAAACGGAGGGACGAGGGATGACAAGAACTACGAGCATATGAGTCCTATAGCCACCGCTGTTCCCTTCTTGAATATCGATTTGTGAACAGTACAACCCCTTTAAAAAAAATCCTTACCCAATGCAAATGCCCTTTTCAGAACACTTGACCTTACCCACACAATACCCCTCTCCCAATCCTTTCACTACTTTATTCCCACCTGATCTTCTCCCCATCGCCGTTGTCAGTGCACAGCTCTTTGGCCGCCCTCCTTCCTGGAAAGTTCTGCGAGATGACGGCGGCCGAGGCCCGCACTATGGTGCCTGTGGAGCGATAGTTGCGACACAGCCGCACCTGAGAGGGAGCGGGAGGGGGGAAAGAAGAGGGGGGAGGGAAGTTCTGTGCAATGACAGCAGCAGAGGCGCGCACTATGGTGCCCGTGGAGCGACAGTTGCGGCACAAACGCACCTGGGAGGGAGCGGGAGGGAGGCAGTGCATGGGGAGGGAGGGGGAGCAGTGTCACTCAGAGGCAAGTGGCCAAGTGGCGGCCCGTCCGAGTACACGTGCAGTGGGTCACTCGTTGACCCGCAGGAGTGAACTGATCAACCCCTCCATCCTGAAGGTCAGCACCACTCACCAAGTTCGTAGAGAACGAGGGGAGGTAGAGACCGGACAGGGAGCCTGACGGGGCCGCCGGACACGGTAGGACAGTGGAGTAGTGGGCAAGGACAGGACCCCCAGAGGGGTCTGCCAGGGAGACTGCAACCGGCCGACGGAGCGGCGTGAGTGTGGTGCGGTCTCGAAAGAAGGAGCGGGAAGCACCCGAGTCGAGGGTGAAGGTGTGCAAAACCTGAGCCGACGCGGTACCTGAGAGAGCAGACTCACCAGCACCTGGAGCAGCAGACTCACTAGCACCTAGAGCAACAGCCTCAATGCCCGGGTCAGGCGGAACACACACGTAACAGTCACCCTCAACACTAATAGACATAGCATACATGGCAGCAAGGATAGCATCAAAATCAAGATCAAAGATAGCTACACCCGACCTGAGCAGATCACCCCAGCGAGGGATCTCAGTGGCGTCAGGGAACTGGGTACGCCAGGCAACTGTTAGGCGGCCAAAGCAGCGCTGGGTGGCGTGCAGGCCGCCACACTGCTCTCCAGTGCGGTCGCCGGTGCGCAGGACGTAGGCACAGGGACCAGCACCCCCAGACCCCTGGCGCCCCGCGTACCACTCACGAAGCTGCTGGGGCGACGGGGTCTCACGAGAGCGTGGCTGGTGCTGGGGTCCCCGCTGCACAGCTCTGCCTCGACCAGCTCCACCTCCACCGCCGCCGCCGCCTCCGCCGCCTCCACCCCAACCGCCACCGCCACCGCCGCCTCCACCTCCACCGCTGCCACCGACGCCCCCACCTCTGCCACCACCCCCACCCCCACCCCCTCCTCCGCCTCCACCGCCACTACCGCCTCCCCCGCCACCTCCTCCAGCACCCTTGCTCCCCTTGCCCTTGCCGTTGCGGCGTCTCCCGCTAGGAGCAGACGCAGCGCTGACCGACCCGGTGCCAACAAGGTCGACAGCAGCAGCAGAGGCAACGGAGGGCAAAAGGGGAACGGGGGAGCACCCCTCAAAGAAAGGGGTACGGGGGTCACCACGAGAGGCTCCTACAGCTGTAATACTAGTCTCTGCTGCAAGGAGGCGCTCCTCGAGGAGGTCAACGGTGAGAGTGGTGGGGCAAAGAGAGAGGAAGTGGTCCCTGACCGAGCGAAGGGTGTCAGGGAGTCGAGTGACTAGGTAGTAGAGGGTGATGTACATGGGGGGGGGGGGGTTCTTGGCGCAGAACTCAGCAGGAAGCGCAGCGCGGTAGTGTGTGTCACTGGTGCGGAGGTGCGTAATGAGGTCAGTGACTGTGGCAAAAGCGGCGAGGTCAGGGAACAGGTAAGGCAGCATGAGGCGGCTAAGGGCAGCAGTAGCAGGGGAAGAGTAGCGTGCAACTACAGCGTCGTACAGAGTCTTAGCACTCTTGTACTGACTAAAGTGCGCGCGCTCAGTAGACGGTAGGTGACTACGTACAGCAAGGCGGGCAGCAGCATCGCGCGTGGTCCACTGTGAGCGAACAGTACTGTCAGCATCAGCAGCAGGGGCAGTAGAGGCGCCAGACGTGAGATCGAACAGTGAGAGACCATCCTTGCTATCGCACTGTAGGAAAAGCTGCAGATCATCTATCCAGACCTCAAAGTCGACCGCTCGACCCTCAGCATCGAATGTAAGCACAGTGGGACTAGCCATGACAGCAGCAGCAGTAGGCTAGCAGCAGCAGCAGCAGCAGTGCAACTCGGCTAAGCGGCGCGGCTAGGCAGGGCAGCGCGGCTCGGCAGGGCGGGGCGGCTCGGCGGTGCTCTTACCAGGGGCGGTTGGGTAGGTGGCCGCGACTGGTGGGGCAGGGCCGGGGCAGGGCCGGGGCAGGGCCGCGACAGGGCCGGGGCAGGGCCGGGGAAGGTCCGGGGCAGGGACGGGGCAGGGCCGCGACAGGGCCGGGGCAGGGCCGGGGCAGAGCCGGGGCAGGTCCGGAGAAGGGCCGGGGCAGGGCCGCGACAGGGCCGGGGTAGGGCCGGGGCAGGGCCGGGGCAGGGCCGGGGCAAGTCCGGGGCAGGGACGGGGCAGGGCCGCGACAGGGCCGGGGCAGGGCCGGGGCAGAGCCGGGGCAGGTCCGGAGAAGGGCCGGGACAGGGCCGCGACAGGGCCGGGGTAGGGCCGCGACAGGGCCGGGGCAGGGCCGGGGCAGAGCCGGGGCAGGTCCGGAGAAGGGCCGGGGCAGGGCCGCGACAGGGCCGGGGTAGGGCCGCGACAGGGCCGCGACATGGCCGGGGTAGGTCCGCGACAGGTCCGGGACAGGGCCGCGACAGGGCCGGGGCAGTGCCGCGACAGGACCGCGACGGGGCGGCGAGGCAGGGCCGGGGCAGCGCCGCGACAGGGCCGCGACGAGGCGGCGTCGGGCGACGGGGCAGGGCCAGGGCGGGGCCGCGACGGGGTCGCGATAGGCGACGAAGGGGCCGCGTAGGGGCCGGGTAGGGGGCCTGACGGGGTCACGATAGGCAACGAAGGGGCCACGTATGGGCCGGGTAGGGGGGGGCCGCAAAGGGCAGAACAGGCCGCTAAGGGGCCGCGAAAGATTTGGGCAGAGCGCGAAGCGCGCTTCGGGCAGGTAGGAATTTTTTTTTTTTTAAGGTGGGCCCTTAGGAAGGAACGGTCCCACTAGGGAACCCGCTCTATACCATGTGAAGAATCAGGAATGAAATGATTGACTAGAAAATGAGTTGGGTACAAATATGAAACCCTAGGAAACTGTACCCCATAGTGTCTACCCCACTACAGCCTAGAAAGGCTATATGATTAATGTTTGACATGCAAGGCCTAAGCAGGCGCAGTACCAAGGAGAGTAGACTCACTAGCACCTAGAGCAGCAGCCTCTATACCTGGGTCAGGCGGCACACACAGGTAATAGTCACCCTCAGCACTAACAGTCAAGGCATACATGGCAGCAAGGATAGCATCATAGTCAAGAGCAAAGATATCAACACCAGACCTCAGCAGCTCTAGCCAGCGGGGGCGCTTAGCCTTGTCGCCAAACTCTGCGCGCCAAGCGTCGTCAAGGGGGGAGAAGCAGCGGTGCTGAGTGTGAGGCTTCCCGCATGTCTGACTAGCGCGGTCACCTGTGCGAATGACATACGGGCAGCGAACACTACCCCCAGACGCCCCACCCTGAGCAAACCACTCACGAAGCTGTTGGGGCGTAGGGGTCTCGCTCGGACGCTGCTGCTGCTGCCTCTGGCCACCGCCAGAACCTCCCCTCTGAACAGCTCCACCCCGACCGCCACCACTGCCGCCGCCACCACTCCCACTGCCGCCACCACCGCCACCACCACTCCCACCGCTGCCACCACCGCCGCCACCGAGGCCCCCACTCCCGCCACCACTCCCACCGCCACCTCTGCCACCTCCACCGCCTCCACCGCCTCCACCTCTACCACCACCGCTGCCACCGCCACCACTCTTGCCTCCCTTGCCCTTGCCGCTGCGGCGCTTCCCACTAAGAGCAGAAGCAGCCCCGACGTCCTCTGAACCAAGTATGTCAACAGCAGCAGCAGAAACGTATGAGGGGGCAAGGGGGGAGGGGGAACACCCCTCAAAGAAGGGTGTACGAGGAGTGCCACGAGCAGCACTTACAGCGACTACGCTAGTCTCAGCTGCAAGGAGGTGCTTCTCGAGCAGGTCAACAGTGAGGTATGTGGGGTCAAGTGCGAGAAAGTGGTCCTTGACTGCGCGAAGAGAGTCAAGGAGGCGGGTGACTATGAAGTAGAGAGTGATGTACATTGGGGGCGGGTTCTTGTCTAGGAACTCGGCTGTGAGGGAAGCGCAGTAGCGAGTGTCGCTAGTGCGAAAGTGGGTGATGAGGTCCTCGACTGTGGCAAAGACTTACAGCTCGGGAAAAAGGTAGGGCAATATAAGGCAGCCGAGAGCAGCAGTGGCAGTGGAAGAGTAACGAGCGACTACAGCATTGTACAGGGCTTTAGCAGTCTTGTGCTGGCCAAAGTGAGCGCGTTCGGCTAACGGCAGGTGGTTGCGAACGGCTAAGCGAGCAGCAGCGTCATGGGTAAGCCACTGTGAGCGAGTTGCACTGTCAGCTGTGGCGGGAGGGGCGAGAGAGGCTCCAGACGTGTGGTCAAACAGCAAAACACTGTCTCTAGAGTCGCTCAGTAGGTACAGCTGTAAGTCGTCGAGCCACGTATCGAACTGGATCGAACGACCCTCATGATCGAAGGTGAGAACACTGAGAGAAGCCATAGCGGGCAGAGCAAGGTGGCGCGCGACCAGCAGGGCTGCATGCAGGCAAGGACGGCGCGACGGGCAGGGTGCCGCGCGAGCACTAGGGAAGCGCGCAGGGCAGGGCGGGGCGGCGCACAGCCAGGGAAGAGTGGCGCGTGGGCAGGGCAGGGCAGTGCAAATGGCAGGTCAGGGCGGCGGCCAGCAGGGCGGCGCGCGGGCAGGGCAGGGCGGTGCGGCGGCCAGCAGGGCGGCGCGCGGGCAGGGCAGGGCGGCGCGGCGGCCAGCAAGGCGGTGCGCGGGCAGGGAAGGGCGGCGCGGTGGCTAGCAGGGCGGCGCGGTGGCTAGCAGGGCGGCGCGCGGGCAGGGCAGGGCGACGCGGCGGCCAGCAGGGCGGCGCGCGGGCAGGGCAGGGCAGCGCGGCTGCCAGCAGTGCGGTGCGCGGGCAGGGCAGGGTGGCGTGGCGGCCAGCAAGGCAGTGCGCGGGCAGGGCAGGGCGACGCGGCGGCCAGCAGGGCGACGCGACAGGCAGGGGAGGGCGGCGCGCTACCAGCAGGGCGGCGCAACGGGCAGGGCAGGGCAGCGCGCGGCCCGCAGGGTGGCGCGACAGGCAGGGCAGGGCGGCCCGCGGCTGGCAGGGCGGCGCGATGGGCAGGGCAGGGCAGCCGCGGCCAGAAGGGCGGCGCGACGGGCAAGGCAGGGCAGCGCAACTAGTGGGGCAGCGCTACGAGCAGAGAACTATGCGGTGGGCCCTTAAAAAACGGTCATGGAACAGGACCTGCTCTGAAACCAT